AATTAAATATGGATGTAAAGTAAGGTTACCATTTTCGTTGTTGAATCATTTGTCATTTTGATTGTTTCTATAACAACTCAACTTACTATTTTGTAAACAGAGGAAAGAAGAAGAAGCGAGGAGGTTTCAGAGAGGCTTTTGGAAAACTTGGAAATCTTCGGTCTTTTTTACAATCAGGTACTATATGCACATACTTAAGCAATTGAAAAATAGAATAGATAAGTTTATTTTAAAACATTTCGGCCCTACTGTACAAGGAAAGGGCGGGGGGGAATAACTAAACTGGATAATAATTTAAGTTGGTAGAGTACTGCAAATATTAAGGTACTGTACCAACTTAAATTATTATCCTATAAATACTAAAATACATAAACACAGCTTTTCTGTTCTCATCAAGTATTTTAACTTTTATTATAGGAACACCAATTGGAGCTGTTACTGGAACAGCAGACAAAACAACACAAGATATCATCAAGACTACATTGAGCTTAAAAAATCCATTGTCCATTTACATCAGTCCGAATCGAAAAAATTTGAGATTCTATGTGAAAAAAGTGAAGAAACAAGAGCAGTTGAAACACTTGGACTGGCTTACAGAAGAAATAAAGAAATCTGGAAATTTGACTCCAAAAACATTAATTTTCTGTAACACTCTGAATGAAATTGCTACTGTTGTAAATTATCTCTGCTGCAAGCTTGATGATGGGTGTCACGAAAGACAAAAACATATTGGAATATACCACTCAAACTCTTGGGCATCCAACAAAGAGCGGATTCTTTCATCCCTTAAAGGAAATGGGACCATTCGAGTTGTCGTCACAACCTCTGCTTTATGCATGGGAGTTAACTTTCCAGATATCCGTTATRTAATTAATTGGGGACCAGCAAGATCAATTGTTGACCAAATGCAAGAAGCTGGAAGAGCTGGAAGAGCTGGACGGGATGGAGAAATGACGCACATTATAATAGTATATCATGGACAACAAATTGGACCATGTGATCCAGAAATCAAGGAATTTGTGAAATCCTGTGATTGTCTAAGGGTTGCTGGATATTATCATTTAGACCCAGAAATCAACCCTTCCATACCTTCACATAACTGTTGCTCAAATTGTGCATCGCTGTGTAATTGTTTAGGTGACAGTTGTAGCTATGAGGCAATGCCGTTTGAAATGCCTATGAATACAGACAAGAGCCCTAAAAGCATCACTGGACGGCACAGAACTGTGACATCACAAGATAAAGAGGATTTACAAAAGGCACTGGAAGAAATTGTTACAGAAACAACATGTAAGAGTACCACTTTACTTGGTTCAAGTTGCTTTTCACAGGAACTTATTGATGACATTGTTGACAACTGTGAATATATATTTACATTGTATGACATCTCAAGTAAGTTTCCAGTATTTTCCTTAAGTCATTCTCTCAAGATATTAGAAGTTATTCAAGAAATTTTTTTGGATATTCCAGACTTAGAAGAAATATTAGCGTGTTTAAATCTCCATGACTCTGTTGAACGTGTACTGTTGGATCCTCTGTTTGCTATTGAAGATGAATGTAGTATTGATGAACTCTTCAATGAGCTAGAAGTTTAGGCTTAGATACATATGTACATCAATTTAAGATTTAAATAAAATATAATAAGTGATTTTCCTTTATATTAGTTAAATTTCATAAACTACCATCATACTTATATATAATATTAACTATAATTAATATCTTGTAAAATGTAGCTCCATGTAGTTTAAATATAGATTTGTGGAATTAAAAATATTGGATTTCCACAGGAATCATATGTATATACAGTTGAATATAATACAATTTAACATCATTGGTATATGGTTGCCCAAAGTTCAGTATGCTCTTTCAGCCAATTATGTAAATTTCGATAATCAAGGCCAGCAAGCAGGCTTCTCTTAAATTTGGGAAATGACTGGTACCCTTCTCGTCCAGGTGTCTTGTTAAATACTCTATTGTCCATCAGGTCCATTGTGACAACATGAACTGCTTCAGCCTCTTGAACTGATGCTCGATAACCAAATTTCTCTTCCTTTTTGCAGTCTTTGTCAACAGATTCATAGATCAGTTCTAGTGATTCTAGAGTACCTGCTGTTCGCTCAGCTCTGCTTTCATCAAGGTTTGATCCAAGAGCACGCCAGAGGGTTTTCAAAATCCTGTTTTGTTGTTCTTTTTTCAAATCAAGAGAGATATTAGTGCCTTTTACACCTCTGTGGTTATAAAACCTATTCCATTTAAGATCTAAGGCCTGCGAAGGAGGGAGGATAGCTATACACTGTATCATATAGAGCAAGACAGCGTATGAATACTTGTAGTGACCTGTATTTTTGAATATCAAGAGAAGTAACTTRTAGAGATTGAAGAGCCTTTCGCCGTCACCCTCCTTTATTGTGTCTTTGAATTCCATTAATATCAGACCAAATGTMAATTTTGCACAGTGGTAGTTGAACTTGAAATCTTCTTTGGACTCTGGTGGATTAGAGACATTTTCATCAMCTATCTTTTGACCATGTTTCTTATCTTCATGCCTATACAAAATAATTGTAAATATATACAAGTAAATTTGAACAAATCTTAATAATTTGTTTGTACATTTCATGAATCCAATGCACTTCAATGATTTAGACTCATAATATTATTTACCTGTTTCGTGTTGTCTTTTTCTTGAACACTTGACCGCAGTGAAGTCTACAAAAGTAGTAGCCAAAGGAGTCGCGCTCGCTTACTCCATCATCATATGATAGATTGTGAACTTCATTTTCATGCCTGAAAGAGAGTGTTAGTTACCATTCTTGCTTTATGTCCTGGAAAAGATAACATAATTACCTTACTCTGCCAGAGTGATAACAAACTCGGCATGACAGCCATGTTCTCTACACCTGAACTTTGTTGATTTAAGGGCTTTCTCCAGCTCATCTGTMTGACTTACTAAACTAGTTAGTTCATCCATGTCCAAAACATATTTTTTGACATGTTCCTTGCAAAGTTCTAGCAACCACTTTCCTTTAGTTTGTTTTGGTACAGTTGCATCTGGCATGATAATATTAGGTTTATCTGAAAATAAAAGTAGTTTAAACTACTTTGACTATTATAAATGTTTTTACAAATAGTTTTAAATAGTACTTTTATTTATTACCTAATGTTGACATAAAAATTTATTTGAAGATGATGCTAACTGCATATAAAACATGTTTAATTTTCAGATATCCGTGCTATCTTAACTACCATCTTGACAATAATCAAAAAGGCTAAAAATACAAACCCTCTATCTTTGTCATATCCATCATTTCCATGAACGAGGAACAAATATGAGCTTCAACTTCTCGTGCATGGAACTCGCTGTACTCATTGAAATGTTTTTCTGGACCTTTGGCTGCATTTGTTTTACCAGTTCTGTTAATGCTTGCTCTTGTAGTGCCAATTTCAGCTGCTGAAGAATGCTTTACAAACATATTGAATTCYTCCTTTAAAGACATAAATATAAGCATTTTATTTAGTATGCAACAAGATCATATAATAGTACACATACTCATGACTTGAGACWAGCTAGGGAGGTGCCCTGGCCATTTTCCTTATACTAATACACTTTTACATTAGTTAATACTGCTAATTATKTTTATTTTGCATAATGGTATATTATAAAATAATACCATTTTTGCAATTTCTATCTAAAATTCTTTTTTAAACTATATAGGCTTGTTTGCATAA